AGTGGTATTTCCAATTTTAAATATATGGAATATCTATAAAACTCGTGTAATCTTTTAAAACTGATTTGAACCTAACATGCAACTGCAGTGTATATCATGTACATACACCCACTTCTCAATGAATCATCCAGCAGGTATATATTTATAACGTATTTCCAACACTGTGATATAACTTAAAGAAACATTGTCATCTCAGTTTAGAACCAAAATTTGTCCTTCAAATCTCTCCTCAAGACCTGCTTTTATTTTTGTGCCTATGTGAAACTGGCAACTGATGAAAGCTATGTAGATGGCTGTAGGGATTTAATGTTTATCTGCTGTATTTGTTTACTTACATTTTATAAGTTTAATATAGCTGTGCATATATGCCGTGAATCAGGAAAGCATGTAAGCACATTAAGTGCTTTTCTGAATAGGAATGTTTCCCTGAAAAGACTAAAAAAAAAAAAAAGAACGAAAAGCTGGGATTTATAACAACATGCTCTTATTACTGTTTCTTCTCCTTTTCCTTCTCTTCTCCTTTTGAGTTGTTTGTTTATACTCCTTTGTTGTGTCTGGGACAGACGCTACCTTCTTACTCTGTTTGTACAACGCCATAACTGACTGGAGCTTCTAGGAATTAGCACATTGAGAACAGGCTCAGATTTTCAAGGTAGCCTAAAGTGAAATTGAGCTATCTAGTTTCACTGAGAAAAATGCAAAAGTAAATGCCATAGACGTTGAAAAGTAGGTTAGAAAATCTAAGTTGTTAGTAACACAGGTACTGAACTTTGTAAATGAAGAATTTTTATCTGAACAATAATTCTTTAATTGAATTAGCTGTTATGTTGGGTGCTATTTATTGCTCATAGTCTACATTTGCTCTCTTGAGCTTGCTTTTCAATAATACTATTTACATTTTTTCTTTGCAGTTCAACTTTTTAAACTGCTTTGCCTCCCTCTTCTACATTGCTTTTGTCCTTTTTGATATGAAACTTCTGCGACAGGTGAGTTCTGGAAACTGTAAGATATCTAAGAAATATAGGGATAGTTGAAATAGAAATTCAGAGGGTTTCTGTTGCTTTTCTAATATAGGATATGTGTTCACCCTCTCTTAATAATTTCTGGTAAATCCAGTTATCTGTATTTCAGTGCCTCTAATATATTTGCAAAGTCATAACAATATGAAAGAGGCACAAATAAAACCTACAAATACGAAAATATTTTCAAACAATTTGACCTGCAAAGAAGAAAAAGGTGGGTGGGAGGTTAATATCTTTTTGATATATAAACAAGGCCTGAAACCTTTTTTCTCTTGTCCTTTTTTTTGTTATGCAGTAGACTTTTCAAATCTTGTCTGCATTGTTTTTCCCGAGGGACTCTGTTGACGACTGGAGAACAGTAGGATTACGACTACCATAAAAACCAAGCATTTGGAAAGAATTGAGGGGAAAATCATTTTTAGTCACTTTTTAAAATTCACTCTGTTTTTATTGATATCTATCTAACATAAATGCATGAAAAATTGGAAGAAAAAATGTCTTTGTTTAAAAATTTAAAAATCTTTGATTTAAAGCTGATAACCCTTGAACTTGAGTTCTCTGGTCCTCCAAGGAGACCTCCAGAAAAACCAGGAAAGACAAGACTTGATATTGCTGATATTTTTATGTAAAAAGCAAGTGGAAAAGAAATTAAACAAAACAAAAATAAATCCAAACAAACTTTCAGGTTTTCTTTATACAGTAACTCCTCACTTAATGTTGTAGTTATGTTCCTGAAAAATGTGACTTTACGTGAAACGATGTTAAGCGAATCCAATTTCCCCATAAGAATTAATGTAAATGGTGGGGGGTTAGGTTCCAGGGCAGCTTCCCCTACTCAGCAAGCACCAGGGGTGGGAGGCTCAACCCTCAGCCTGCCCACTCCAATCCTTCCCCCAAGTCCCCATCCTTGACCTGCCTCTCCTCCCCCTCCCACCTCCTCCCCCTTTACTTCGCATGCTGCGTCCTGGCTCCTCCCCCTCCCACCGCTCCCTGATTGCTGTTTGCTGCATTGGGATGCAGAGGAGGGAGGCGCGCCAAGTCCTCGCTCCTCTCCCCTCCCCCCGCCTCCAAAACACTGCAAGCCAGCTTATTGCCGCTGGCAGGAAGCGGGGGGAGGAGGGGAAAGGCACTGATCCGCGGGGTCTGCCGGTGGGCAGGAGGCGCTGGGGCGGGGGGCGTAGGGAGGCTGCCAGCTGTGGAGAAAGCAGGCAGCCAAACAACGCAAGAGTGGAGCATTGCACAACTTTAAATGAGTATGTTCCCTAATTGATCAGCAGCGTAACAACGAAACAACGTAAGCGGGACGACTTTAAGTGAGGAGTTACTGTATATCATAAAGAACCACAAACATTTTTTTTGTCTTTGTGGGTAATTTTTTAAATAAGTAAATTTAAGCAACAGTATAAACCTACAAATTAGAAAATGTCTGCAGACAGCTTAAAAGCAGAAAGTGAAGAAACAAAGGCCAATATTAAAAACTGTTGGCTTTTGCAGTTGAGGAGCTCCTACTCACCCGGCTAATGGGAGTTTGGAAGTGGAATGCTGGTCTCATGAATTACAGTGTCACTTAAGATTTTCTTGTGTTTGAAATTGTCCTTTGTTTTTCCTGGTGTGGTGGTTTCTGAGCTGCTTGTCCTTGGAGCTACAAGAATTCCTCCATTTCCCTCTTTTTATTTTCCCAAACTCTAGTTATAGTGACCCTTTATCTGAAAAGGCCACAATTTGGCTTGCTTTGGAGCCCATTTTAGCTCTATTATTAGTTTTGTCAGTGGGGTTGTTACACATTGGCAAAGCATTCATTTTCCTCACAAGAGACTGAGTGTACAGTCTGCTCAGCACTTAGTCCCTACCAGCCCATGGCAAAGACTGGGAATTAGATCCACCTCATGTGTGTTGTGGTATTGCTAGACCACTAGACTGGCTTGATATTTGCTTTTATTGTCATTATAAATAACCATTGACAATGTTATCTAAATGCACAAAATAATAAATTTTAAGATATATCACAATTTTGTTAAATAAATGTTGTTTTGTTTAATTTTCTTAAGAGCTTGGCCACTCTGCTGATAACTTCACAGATCCTTAATCAATTTGTAGAAGCCTTACTTCCTTACTGGCTCCAAAAGAGACATAATAAGAAAGTGAAGAAGAGGGTGTACTCCATAAAAGTGGATACTGATCTTTCATTATTTGAGCAAGTCAACCTGGAAAAAGAAATGGGCACCTATCTTGTAAGTTGAACATATGCTGCTTTGATACAACTTTTGAAATTTACTGCTGACAAAAAGGGGCCATATGTTAATTTTAGATAACTGTAATGTAGTGGCTTGTGAAGAGAAGGAACTGTTTTATTTTAGACGGGAATTTGAAGATGTGGTGTAAACATTTTGGGTTTTGTGCATTAGTCATTATGTGTCCCATACAAACAAACCACAGAACCATTGAGAAAGCTAAATTGCTAACATAACAACTGCTTCAGTCTTCAGTCCTAAAGTAGGATAGTAAGTTGCTGAATCAGAAATATTTGGTCACTTTTTTACCAGCAGAAGGTAAAATAGCTTATTAGTCTAAGATGTTTTGTGCGAACAGATATGGAAAAAATCATGTTGCAATTTTAAATAAACAAGGGATGATACTAGAATACATTATACTCAGTTCTTTTGGTGCCTTTGGTACACATTACACTTGTGTGTCCTCTAGGGATATGAATATTCTAATTACTACCACTTCATAATTTCCACTGTTAAAAATCAAAGGATATGTCTAGAGCAGGGGTTCTCCAACTTCATTGCACCGCAACTGCCTTCAGACAAGAAAAATTACTACATGATCCCAGGAGGGGGGAGCGAAGTCTGAGCTCGCCTGAGCGCTGCCGCCCTTGCGGGTGGGGGGAAAGTGGGGCAGCCAAAACCCAAGCTCCACCACCCCAGGCGGAGGGGACCAACGCCAAAGCCAAGGGCATCCGCCCCAGGCAGGGGGCCTGTAACCTGAGTCCTGACACCCAGGGCTGGAGCCTGACACCTGGGTGGTGGGGCTTTTGGGCTTCAGCTTCAGCCCTGGGCCTCAGCAAGTATAAGCCAACCCTGACCACTTTGGGGTCCCGACCCACAGTTTGAGAACGCTGGTCTAGAAGGTGTAACCTAACTCCTATTTTAAAACTTCTTTACTTTCTAGTTATTTCCACCTTTTTCTTGTTCTATGTCCCTGATTATGCTTACTAAAGATGCACACATCCCTGCCACCAGTGCAATGATATTCTCCAAAAATACCTGTGCCAGTGGTTTCTTGCTCATGAGTCTTTTGCTTCTAACAAAAGCCTATGAAGGAACTCCCATAGTTGAAATGTTCTGAGATGTCAAGGCACCTCATGCACCCTTTTCCTAAGGTCAGTTCCTTTCTAATTGCCTTTGGTAGAGCTGCTACCGTGACTTATCAGTACTTTGACAATTGGTCTGGCTCACAGCATCTCTCAAAATTTGCAGCATTTCTGGTCTTCCATATCCTTGTTGGTCAGATTCTTATTAAAAAAAAACCTTTCTCGAATTCTGGTCCCTGTGTGTATTTCACTTTGGGTACGCATGCACACCAGGTGCCTGAGACGGGAAGGGTTTTTTCAGCAGCGTCTGCCTATTGGTCTGTGCCAACGCCATTTGCCTCTTTGTGCTCCAGTCTGAGGGTATAAAGGGCGGTTCAGACTGAATGCCTCTCCAGTTCCTTCTCTACCGCTGCATGATCCGAGACAGAACTTCTCCAGTGTCCTCTGAGTCTTTTTCTCTTTGAACCAGTAAGTATTTTAGGTTATTTAAATAGTTTTTGTTAGTTTAGTATAGTATTAGAGTTACATCATTAAATAGTATAGTCTGTGGCGGAGGGCCTTCCCCTCATCCTCCATACTAGGTCTATTGTGCCCCAAATCCTGACTTTAAGAAATCTCTGTCCTACTCTCAGGTGTTCCCAGTTTCAGATGACCAGCAGCGGTGTCTATATTGCCTCAGAGAAGCCCTGGTCATTTCCAACTGCAACTGCCGCTCCAAACTGGGAAAGGCAGACAGACTCAAGAAATACCTTATGGAGCATGCCATGAGGCTGCAGTCTGACCCAGCTTAGACAGCCCCCTCCCTTTAGAGTGGCTAGAAGTGCCAAGAAACACATTGCCAAGCTCGTATTGGATGCAGAGGCAGGCAGGAGTAGAGATATGGACTCCTCCTATAAATCTGCATATGAGAGTAGAAAACTCTCATGAGTTGGGGAGAGCCCCTGCATTCAGATCATCCCTCTGAGCAGGAGAGCCTTTTCCCTAACACCATCTCAGTCAAGAGATGCTCGTGGATCTTTGAAGATCTGTAAGGAGGCCTCAGCAGATCTGCAGGCTCCAAAAGAGAAGATGGTACCAGTGGGCTCAATCATACTACCAGCACCAAATGAACATAAGCACTGGACCACAAGAGCAAGCAATGAGCGGCACTGTCCAAAGACAATCATACGCTGTTGGCTCTGCCACACTCCAGCAATGAAAATAACATACTAAAACCACCTGATACTCTTCTCCTGATGTTGCAAAAAGAGAGAAGCCCTCATCTTTCTGAAACTAAGGAAAGTTTCACATCACTGGAGGGCTTTATTATACTTCCTGATCAGGAGTCTCCTATTATCTCAAACTTAGTCCTCATCAGCGAAATTTTGACACCATTGGTTCTGGGTTGGAGTGACAGAAGCCATTTTCTGATCTGTTCTACCAAGTGGGATCTATCATCATTACTGTCCCGACGGCATGACTGATACAGGTGCATACCATGTTTTTGTCTTTGGGAAAGTCAGTTGCGGGTGAAGAACCTGCCTCCCACACTCAGAAAAAAGACTTTAGCCTGAATAGAGGATCCAAAACCTCAGGGATCCTTCTCATCCACATAGTGACATACTGGACCCAGAATAGTAATACCCCATGCCTTGGGGTCCTCTGCAGCCTATGTATAAGCCAGAACTCTGGCCATACTGGGGACCAGGGATTTGTATGCACGGTACCATGAATTGATTCGCTCACAGTGTGAGTCAGCCATTTCCACCAAGGGAGGAACCAGTCCTCTTGCAATTACCATCTGAGGAGGAGGAAGAACTAGTAGAGATGGATCTGAAGGTACCACCAGCACTGACCGTGTTTTCATAGTTTCTAGATGACGCCATGGCACTGGCTTCACCATCGTCACCTGATGATTTCACATAGTTTCTAGATTTCCTGAGGAGAGTGGCTGACACTCTGCAGATACCATTTGGGAGTTCAACTAACTCCTCATAAATTTCTTGGCATCCTGCAAAGTGAAGGACCAAGCAGTGTCGTGCTTCCATTCCATGAAGACATTATGGAACCAGCTAAACTTATCTGGCACATTCTGGCAACCTGGGCTGCTACCTCTAAAAGAAATGAGAAAAATATTAAGGGCCATCAAGAGAAGAGAGTTTTTGTATACCCACCTGACCCCAAACTCCCCAGTTGTTCAGGCCAAGATGGAAAGGGGCAGACAGCACCAGGCCAGATCTCCTCCCTCAAATAGAGGGATATACCTGTTGAAGATCTTTACATCAACCAGCCTGCAATTTAGAATAGCTGACACGCAAGCTTTATTTTCAAAATACAACTTTATTAATGGTTCTAAATTCCAAGGATTTGCAAACAAACTCCTACAGGAACACAAAGTGCAGTTCCAGGCATTGACTGAGGCAGGAAAGCTGATAGCCAGATCAACCCTGTAGTCTTCCATAGATGCAGCTGGCAACATCATGAGCCATGGCTTCAGCAATAGTTATGTGCAGAGCGTCATGGCTTCACTCTTTGGGATTTCCGTGCAATTTACAAGCTACAGTGGAGGATCTGCCCTCTGAAGGGAATAATCTCTTCAGTGACAAAACAGACGAGTCTTTGCACTCACTAAAAGACTCAAGGGCAACCCTATGCTCATTAGAAATTGACAGCGAAGACATGAAGAGAGAGAACCACATCCTGGAGACCTCATACGGTGCTCCAAGTTCTCCTTCCATCAATGGTCTTAGGAGCTTCTGCCAAAGAGGCAGAAGATACAGCACAGTAAACAAATGGCTCCTCCAATGCCTTTCCAGTATCAATCGCAGGTCAACAGATGCCATTCACACTACCCAAGTCTGCTCTTTTATATCAAGTACCCATTTGTCTGTTGTGATGGTCCATTTTTTCCATACTTGGAAGGCCATCATAACAGACAAATGGGAACTTGATACAATACATTCAGGCTGCATCACTGGCTTCTTCTCTCTTTCCCTTCCCTCTTCAAGGATCCCTCTCACAACAGGATGCTCTCTCAAGAAGCTATAGAACTCAAATTACTTCCCAATACCAAAGAAGAAAGGGGACTGGAGATCCATTTTAGACCGAAGACAACTTAATATCTTTATTTGCAAGCTGAAATTTAGGATGGTTACTTTTGGTATCTATCATCCCCTCATTGTCCAGAAGGGATTGGTTCACGACTGACAATATGAAGGATGCCTATTTTCACATAGACAACCACCCTTCTTGCAGATGGTTTCTGAGATTCATCATAGGGAATGAACATTTCCAATACAAGTTGCTTCCCTTTGGCCTGCCAACAGCACGAAAGGTAAATTTACCAAAGTTCTCTGGTCATAGCAGCTCGCTTCCATTGTCATGGGTCGTCAGTCTTCCCCTGCTTAAACAACTGGCTACTGACAGGGAAATCCTACCAGGAGATACTTTCAGCAGCCAACCAACTGATCAATCTCCAGCAGTCACTAGGACAAGCACATACACTTAGAAAATTCCACTTTGGTGCCAACACCAGTCCATAGAATTATAGGAGCAACCCTGGACTTGATCACAGCCAAAGCATTTCTCCTGCAGGACAGATTCCAGGCTATCAAACATCTCGCTGTGCAACTCAGGCTGAGCCCACAGATGCAAATCTGCTCCTGTCTCATCCTTCTGGGTCATATGGCATCTTGTACTTACATAACCTCATTTGTGAAGTTATGTTCTTTGTCTACATGCCCAGCTTTGCTCAGTTTAATTACTAGCCAGAGTCGTTATGAACAAACAAATCTCCCTCCCTCAAGAGGTTAGGGCCTCCCTGAGTTGGTGGGAGAATGAAGATCGCATGTGTGCGAGAGTCCCTTTCTCTCCAACCTTACTACAGAAGACTGTCATCACAGATGCCTCCATGTTTGGCTGGGGTGTTCACCTGAGCAAACACTCAGTTCAAGGCACATGGTCAGCAAAATAAAACAGAATGGACATAAACCAGCGTGAATTGAGAGGAGTTTGGGTGGCTTTCAAGCATTTTTTTTTCCACGCTCGTGTAGTCTTGCCACATTTTAATGCTGTTGGACATTATTACCTCTGTGTTTTATATAAACAAACAGGGAGCCATGAGATCCACCTCACTCTAATGTTGTAAAATTATGGAACTGGTGTATTCAACATCAGCAGTGCTCCTACCGGGAATAAACACCATCTGGGTGGACAGCCTCAGCAGGTGCTTCTCTCAGGACCATGAGTGGGAACTTCACGACTCAGTAATACAGACAATATTCCATCTTTGGGGGTCCCTCTCCTGCGACTTCTTTGCCTCCTGCAAGAACAAAAAGTGTCTGAAATATTGCTTGGGGCGAGGGGTGGGGGAGGGGCAGGCTTGGGTCAGAACTCCATGGGAGATGTGCTTCTGGTTCACTGGTCAGGACAACTAATGTACATCTTTTCTCCATCTGCTCAGGACGTGAGGTAATAAGAAGAATTCAGCAGGGCAAGATGTGATCAGTAGGATCCTGCTCCTAAGTGGCCCAAGGCAATTCTGGTTTTCTAGCCTCCTTCAGTTGTTAGTTCATCCACATGACAACGTTCCAGACCTTCCCAGACCTGTTGACACAACACAAAGGCAGAATCAAGCATTCCAATTGAGACTCACTGCACCTGCCAATCTGGTGTTTGGATGAGCATTGAGCCTAGAGAATAAGTGCTTGAGAGATATCCAGAAATGTCCAGGCTATTCTCAACAATAGTAGAAAGGAGTCTACTAAAATGCAGTTATGCTGTCAAATGGAAGGAAATGATTTTCCATCTGGGCTCATAATCAGCACACTTCTTCAGAGGAATCAGACATCCCTGCTATCCTGGATACCTCCTATCCCTAAAGCCCTCAGGACTCTCTCTCAACTCAGTACGCATTCACTTTGTACCTATCAGTACCTGCCATTCCCTGATCAGTAACTACTCAATTTTTGCCCATTGTTTTACACTCTGCTTCCTAAAATGCTTGCTTCAGAGCATTCCACCTGTAAGCAAACCACCTCCAATGTGGGACCTTAATCTTGTCCTGTCAGTGCTCACAAAAACTCCATTTAGCATCCAGCTTGCTATAGCATCTCTCCTTGAAAGTAGCCTTTTTAATAGCCACCACCTCTCTGAGATGGGTGGGAGAACTAGGAGCCCTTATGGCAGATAAACTATACACAGTTTTACACAAAGATCAGATCACATTGAGACTGCCAACTAAGTTTACTCCCAGGGTGATTTCGGACTTTCACCTCAAAGTATTAACTTACCTACCTTTCAGAAACCATACACTTCTAATGAAGACAAACGTCTACATTCCTTGGATAGTTTCAGAGCAGTGATT